TCGAAAAATCTGTCTTCCCCGCGATTTCAGAGGTACGTGGTCCTCGCCTCTGCGCCCTGATCCGTGTAGTACGATCCAAATCCGTGTTTACAGCGTCACAGACAGCGTCGAATTTATGTCTCTCGCCGAGGAAGCTCGTCTCTCGATCGCGGAGTCGAAGGTCCGCAAGGAAATCCGCTTCGTTCCGAGTAAAAGGATTGAACAAAGGATTGAATATTTTTTGTGCGATTTTTCTACTTCACTCCTCTCCCCCTTCATGCTTGAGATCGACTACTTGCGAGGCGATCTTGATTTTATAAAGAATACATACCGGTTCGCGAATGCGTGACATTCACCACGGGAAATTTTCATTTTACAAATTTTTGGACGAAATCGTGTTTCTTCGGCAGATAAGAATACGCTATTGAAGATGGTGATATTTATTTAATTGTTTCAGCTACACTTACGATTAAAACAACGCAGAATTTACGCATTATTTACTTTTGTTTCATATGTTTGTGTTTATTTTCTAAAAATGACACATTGATGGACGTTCCGAATTTTCGGAGGGTAGCGTACGCTTTTGTTATACAAAATGTCTCGAAATTTCAGTTATTCAAGTTTGTGAAGCAAATCTGAAAAAAAAATATTTGGAGATTGCAAGACTACAAGATTTAGTATAAATAAATATTTCATCGGTATCATAAAAATACGTGGACAATCAATCACTTGTCGTATAAGCTTCAACACGTACGGTGGGATCATATTTAATGCTTATCGCATGCTTAAGATTATTTGCACTTATTCTTTATTAAATATATGTTTTCAATATATATTTTTCAACTCATATATATGTATCCTCCCGATTGGTTTTAAATCTTACTAATATAACCATAACAATCGTTCCTCATGATAATAAATAAAATTTCAAAATATTTTATACAACACACATGATAAGTTCTTCTGTGACAGATGTTCAAATACTTTTATGATCGACTATTTAAAAATCTGCGCTCATTATATAGTTTCCTGCCATTTAAGATTACGTCATTGAATTAATTATAATATTACACCATCGCGTATGAATTTTACGTTTACGAGATATTCAAGTTGAGTAATAAATTCAAGATGGGTAATAAATTCGACAAACGAATATAGGGTATACACGCGTGAAGATTTAAATTAACATTCGGCTTTAATTAATATTTTAGACGTTCTTCTCTGTTCGTCGTGCTAACTGGTGGATTCTCTCTGTTCAGGGGAGAAAATGTTAATGCGTTCAAACGGCGCGCATTAAAATCGCTTGGACGAAATTATTTTTTAACTCGGAAACGCGAGTTGCCGGCGTGACGGCCGGATTCTGAAAAATCCTCTCAGCTGGGATTTGCGCTGACGGCTTCGAACGCAGGCTTCGAAACACTCGCGCATGGGAATATGGGAATTAATTAACGTAAAAGGATGGGGGACGGTCTTTGAATCGAGCGGTGGCGTGTTGCCGATCGCGCGAGTAGATGTTTCTAGGGATTCACGGATAAACTAAACTCCTAGAGATTACAGAAAAGTTCTTTTGACTGAACTGCGAGTGCAGAAAATGCAGAAATACTTCGTTAAATAATTCTGGACATTTAAACCTGTCTGTCACACTTATCTCGTTAATTTAATAGACGAGTTACACACTCTCGTCGAAAAATTTAGGGGAGTTAATTGGAATTTCAAAAGGAATGATGACGTTTTTAAGAAAATATAAATATTGTAGTCTGAATACAGGATGAAATTTTTGTTTGATTGTTCTCCTATTATAAATATGTACAATTCAGTACAATACTAGAATTTTTCGAATTTATTTTACATACTAAAATTAATAGAATTACATCCTAATATTCAATAAGCATATTCAAATTAACTAGCTTATTTGCACTTAAATGATTTCAAAACTACTTCATCAATACGAACCTGTTGTTCTACTTGAAATATCTTTCGAAGTGAAATTAAGATTCTTCGATTTTATTAGAAACAAGAACAACAGATGTTATTTCTAATTCTACAAATTTTTAAACTGCACCTGTTCGTGTTACAAAGTGTATCACTCGATTATCCAGTCGCGAGGCAACCTTCAGTCAACATAATTAATATTTCTTCAATGTCCGCTGGAAGCTCGAATCGATTCGCGTCCAATCAATTTAAAATGTAACAACATGATCGATTGACTAATCCGTGCGAGAGCCGCCATTCGAAACACATTGTCCATTATTTATTGTAAACACGCTCGCGCGTCGGAATCCCGATTCCCCCGTACGGCCGAGGAAAATTATAACGATAATCCGGAATTCACGTGTCTCGGGTTTATTCATCAGTAGATTTATTTCCCGTGTCCGGGCACCACCGGCTTCCTCATCCGCCAAACGTTGATCCGCTGTGACCACTTGGCCGTATCCACGAGTGCATTTCGATGTGAGATCGGACGCAACGTCCACGTAGGATTAATCTGAAACTCGTTCGGATCGCGCATGGGACACGGCCGTTCATTCTCGTTTTCCCGGCACGTGCAACGCTGCCGAGTAAATTTATACACGCTGTACCCCGAATTCGCTTTAGTCTCCTTTTATTCCGTGTACTCTCTGCTCTTCGACTCGCCAGGCTCGCTTTCCCTCCCTTTCTTCTCGCTCTTTCCCTGCCTCGCGCGTGTGAAAACTCGGTTTTGTTTTTAATCGCTTAATATTTCGCGGCGAGATTTCGAAACAATATTTCGTCCGTTCGAAACCGGAGAAATGGAGTCCGAGTCCAAGCGCACGAGCGATTTAATAAACGTAATATAAAACGCGTGGAATAGAGTCGGTTTCAGAAGAGATATTATATTCCTCTTATAACGTTAATACCTTCGTTTGTGGTATTTAGAATTTAAAATTTAAATCCTAAATTTAGAAGCCACTGCGGAAAGGGATTGTAATTTCCGGTGTTTTGTACGTTTCGTCCTTTTGTGCGCGTTCTGCGCCATACTTGTGCGCTCCGAAAAAAAAAAAAAAAAAAAAAAAGCGTCTCCGTAAATACAGAGAGATCCAATAATGAAATGAAAAAGTGAAAAGGGAATGTTGAATTTTATTTATAAAAGAGTTCAACGCAGACTGAACAAAGTCCAATTTCAATTTAGCTGTGCATTATTAACGCGCGGGGGGGAAAAAAAGGAAACCTAAAAAATTTCGCGTTTGCCTGCGTACTAACCGAGACATTGCTACCAAGGATAGTAATAATTTACCATTGATAGTAACTAGCATTAAAGTAGCAATAACCGTAAAAGAACAAATACAATACAGGTAAACTTGCACTGCAATTTACAATACCACTGTATTTACTTTGTGTCTTTCTGTCGAGTCCCTCGAACGATTGAAAACTACCCTGCGTGCGCGCGTTCCAGTTTCTACAAAACTACCAGCCGTTTAACACGTGAAAATCCCCGACCTATGTGTATGTTACAAGCATTTTCGACAAATTTCATCGATACAGAAGTCGATTGGTTCGATCGTCAAATTCGCCGGTGCACAGAAAGAGAGAGAGAGATTGCTTGTACAAGCACGATTGCGTGTATTCCTCTCTGAACAGGCGCGCGAGTTCGAGCGCTCTGTCGCGTGTAAAACGCGAGTGGTACACGCGCGCGTGCACGTGTCCCGAGTATTCGATGGGATCGGGCCAGCGGCGACCGTGCGTTATCCTCTTTAACGTCGTTTGGCAAAGCCCGAATTGCAGTTTCGAATTAAACCGTCCGGATGATCCATTCCGTCTAGCCCGCTTTAAGGCTCGTTTGCAGTTCCGTTCTCGGCAAATATGCCGCCGTTTCGCGAAATTACGCGTCCCTATGAATTAGAAGATACGAACCGAGGCGTCTAAGACGGATTAAAAAAAGGATGAACTGCTTGTAATCAGTGTCCAACCAGGGAATCACGCTATTAATCGTTGTTGGAGGATTGCAGAAGGTGAACATGATTTGGGGGAGGGGTGTTTGGAGAACGTCAACAGAAATTCAAGATACTCGGATATATAATAAAATCGTAGTCGTGTTTTGAACTTTTTCAAATTAAATTATTAAACTAGGGATTTTTTCTTTTTTTCTTTTTTTGCATTTACATGGTACATTTGAAAGTGCAAAATTGCACAAAGTATAAAATGTCGAAAGTATAATGTTTTTTGTATCATATTTGGCATGTAGAACAATCTTTCGAGATTCTGAAAATATTGTATTTGGATATAATCCGCAGCACTGCTAATTACTTAAATATATACTTATTTATTCTCCTCTTTCGATTAATAATCAATAATCAAACTTCCAGTCTATCGATTTGCACCACAAATTTAACAAATAATTCCTGAGCAATCTGCTGATTTCGAAGAATACAAACAACAGAGTCGTGAATTAATGATATCGAAAATGTTGCATTTATTAAATTAAATGACAAACTATTTCGAAATTTGTTGAATAATTAACTCTGGATAATCTATCTTCTTAAAACAACGCACAGTAAGATTGTAAATTATCATGCGACTTATATTCTTAGCTTTATTCCTCTAACAATAAAATTCACGTCAACTATCAAACTCCTAAAGAATCGATTTATACGAAAAATTTAATAAATTTTCTATTTAAAGAGCTGGTGTAAAAATTTAGTTAAACCTAGGATTAGTAAAAATAAGATAACTTATTCTTAATCTACTAATCCTAGATTCTAGAATTCCTCCTTTAATTCTCGCTAAATCCCAAAAATCCATCGTTCCGAGAATTAAACTCTGAGTCTATAAGCTTCCAATAAACTTTACACAATTCGACAGAAATCTATTACTGTAACAACAACGTTATATCATTGTCACGAAGTTCGAGCGACCAAACTCAAGTGTCAATAAGCCACATATATCAGAAAATATACCTTTGTTGTAGTTTCCTGTACGTGCAACTCCCCCTTCGACTAATCAAGCAAACGTACAATTAGTTTTGCGTGTGATATATAATTTGCAGACAGAGGAAACTTTACAATTAGTAATTATCTATACGATATTGTACATGATGTGTACATACATTACAGAGCTCTCTCTGAAAGATTCAAAAATCTTTTATTCTTTGGACAAAACGAACTTCTAAGTCATTTTTCTAAAGAATAAGAATATTACAATTTATATGTAAAAATCAAAGTTATAATTATAATATTCTCATTTTTTTTTATTAATAAATAATATTCCCATTAAATAACAATTTATTTCAGTACCATCAAGAAATAATACTACAAATGAAATATCAAATATAAAACATAATTCTATTTTATAGAATTATGAAGCAGCTCGCCTTCAAATTTCTTTCTGTCCGTCACTGCACGCACAAAGGATAACATCGACTATACTCATATGTATGCAAATATTATCGATTTTAAATTTGGAACTTTATTCAGTCGGTAAAAGATATTTAGAATTGTAAAACTTCCGCAGTAGCAGCCAGATGATCTTTGAATGCGTTCGATTAGCGTCGTGAACGGCCGTACTGTGGCAATATGGCGCCGATCCTTCAAATAAATGATCGGTCTTCGACATCAATTTTAAAACGTTCCGTTACTCTTCTATATTCGACGAAAGAAAAGGAAAGTCTCTTTTCGTATAATGGATATCGAATGCACATCAAGTTTACACTTTCAATCTCAATTTTCCGGGAGGTGCACCTAATAAATATCTCCAGCAGATTCAAACAGGGAACACGCGTTTCTCATTATCCAAAAACCAATCCAGCCATCTCAATTTATCCGCTTCTTTCCCGGCAAAGGAGCCGAAATCTAACCCAGTGCATAAAGCACATCTCTCCCTGTTCTCTTCGCCAGGTTCGCCACGTTTTATTGCGTTTCAAAGTAATTTTTCCCCTCCCCTGCTTCTCGTGTGCCTTCGCTCCTTTGTTCCCCGGCATTATTAATTTAACGTCGTCCCGACGACGCTTTAATTCGGCAATTTCCGTCGATGGGACGTCATCGAATTGACGACGAGCCGAGGAACGTGGAGAACTTGAAATTACCAAAAGCTTGAAATTATCGACAGCTAGATGTCATCGAAGTAGAAACGATAGAACGCGCAAAAGGACACGTGGGATCTTCGGTCAGATTTGTGAAAAACAAGACTATTTTTGAGTTGAAATCGTAAGACAATTAGGTAATAAACGTCGTACTCTTTAGAATTTTTAAGTCTTTGGAATTTTCTTTTTAGAACACTTTCTCTTTAGAACTTTAACTTTGAACTTAATAGCAAAAGATGTGATAATTCCGAATAACGGAAATGTAAATGAGCAAGTAAGTTCATCTGGAAGAATATCATTCACCTTTGTTAAGAAAAGCTATGCCAGGAATGTATGAAAGGGTGACAGTGACACTCAATGATCAAATTTTTGGGATAACTAATCAACGTGCATCTTGAACAGACCAAACTCAACTTCAGATTCGAATCAAACAAATAGATATCATTCGTATGTTAAAGAAAAAAAAAAAAAAAA